CGTGTCGGTTGTTATTTTCCCGCGAAAGCAGAGCGCGCGATAGGCGGCATGCGGAATCCACCCACGGTATACGCGGCCGATAATAAGGCATGTCGTGACTGGAAAGTTGTAAACAGCGCCGCGGGTATGATAACGGGCGACGAGATTCCCGGGTGCGCTAAACGACACCCTCTTGCCCGCTAAATCGCGCCACGCGCGTCACAAAACGCGCGTCTCAAAGGTGCAGAGGCCGCCGCCGAGATAAGGATCTTCCGGGGCGGGGGATGAAACACGGCCGATCGTGTTCCCATAAAGTCCCCGTCGCTCGCCGGCGTCTCTCGCACAACTATACGGTCTTGCAACGCGAGATCGCAGATAAACGGCATTACGGCATTTCTGTACTCACGGCGCGGCGCGCCGGTTGAACGAAAGACTCGCGAGCTCGTGATTCGCGATTATCAAAACGGAACGACCACGGGCGACGTTCTACGACCGATCAAAAATTCCCACTTTTTCTCGCCGACTCCCGGTGTCACGCGATAGTCTAATTACCCGTCTACCACCTGCCCGTCTCGTACCTGACGTTACCACGGGGCGAGAATGATTGCGCTTACGGTTTTTCGCGATTCGTCGTCGGAAAACGTAAGCAACTCTCACCCCTCGCTCTCGTCGTCGTCGCCGACGACGACGAGAGCTCTCACTCTTTACCCGCGACTACCCACCTCCGGCTCTTCTTCACCTTCACCGCAGAACTACGGCCTTAAATCATAACTACGTCCCGTCGTTTAGAGTGGCGCAAGAAATGAAGACAAATGCTCGGGGGTGTTATGAAGGGGAAACGCGATAGCCGCGGACATGAAGATTCGTTGCGTGCGCGCTCTCCTTGACGCTCTTCAGGGCGCGGCGGCGGCAGCATCCGAGCCGTGACGCGGCGCGGCGCGGCGCGAGATGAGCGCGAGGCTGAAAGCGAACTTTCAGAAAGTATAGGTGTACGCGCCGACAATCTCACCTTCTTTCTCCTCCTCCTCCGGGCGCGCAGTTGATGAAAATTTGAACGGTTCTACCCGGTCGCTCGTTTCACGTCACACCGGTTTTCTCCGTATCTCCTTCATTTCTCTCCGGGGAATTCTATCCGTAGAACGTCTATCCGAGAGAACGCTGTCCGTTGGAAGTTCGGTCGTTCCCCAATGTACATCGGTCGGTCGATTAATTTTAAAACGAGCGGCGCGCGCGGCGGAGCGTCCGTCGTTCCGTTTGCAGACGCGTAACATCGTCGTTAACTTTCGGGAGACCCCCGAACTCGAGCGACGTTATTATTACCGAGTTAAACCCTAAGCGACGAGACTGCCACCGACGTACGAAGTTTAATCGTCGATTTATCCTCCCCCTCCTGACCTCCCCCAGAATCCCGTATCCCGTGAACGTCGAGTATCAACGTGTTACGACCGTAAAGTCTCGTTACACGCGCTACCTATCTTTCTTTCCTTTTTTTTTTACGAGAGAGAAAGAGAGAGAGAGAGAGAGAGTACAGTTTATATACTATGCGCAACATGCAATTTTGCACACTGTCCCATAAGAGTTTTATATCATAGATGTGGAAGGATAAATTAAGAAAAATGGTAGTTATAGTTTCCAGTTACAAAACATAGTTTCGTAAGACAAATTAAACATCAAATCAATGTTGATAGGAAAATAACAAAGTTTCGAGTGAAAATCAAATGATCTTTGTAGGTTGGCTATATATTATATACAATCAATATGTGTTGCAAAATGAAAATGTTTTATTTTTCTAGTCTCTAGAAATTGATTAATAAAACTTTAAATCAAGAATAATTGATTCTATTCGTGAAGAAAAACAGTTCCAGAGTTACTCGCGTATTAAATTATTTCAATGAATAAGCGGATAAAATAATAACTTCGTATTAAAGCATTTATAAAATAGAATCTGACGGAGGGATATTCGATTACCTTATAAACCGTTTAGCCTCGTAAATGCGGCCGTAACACGATCGAGTAAATAATTTTCCGAAATCGGCAAATAGAAAACCATGATCTTGTCGCGTCGATAAGTCAATTGAAATCAAATGCCACTAGACCGGCCCATTATCGGAGAACGAAAGAGAGATTCTCGGCGCAGATAATAGATAAGCTACATCGAGAGCGCTTCAGCATGAAATTCAACGTGAAATACACCGGCGGACGGAGAACTCTACCATTTGCATGTGGGGACGCACGGAAAGGGAAGAGAACAATGGGTGCCGCGTGAGTAATGTTTCAATTTTTTCCCCCTAGGATCCTTTATATACACGACCGCGAATATATACGCCGGAATCCGGGAATACAAAAGTCGTCGTATATATCCGAAGACAAGTACGGCGCAGCGCCTCCGATTCCCCTTCCCCACTCCCCGCTCGATTATTCGCTAAGTAAATTTATTAATGGGCAAAGGGCTTGTTCTCACGATGTTGTCTCGGTGCGGTGGAGAGAGAGAGAGTCGTTCGGTACGGTGGAAATCGATTTCCTGTCGGCGCGGCGGTAACGTCGTTGCGATTTTACGAGTTTCCAAAATAGAGTAAATCCTCGTACGCGAAAACAATTATCCACCCGGAAAATTTCTTACTTATCTCTCCGGGCGAGTGAGAGAAAAGCGCTGTTTAACGTCGGCACGTTTGCTCTCACTCTATCCGGACTTCATAAATAATTTAAGAGGCGTATAAATATTCACAACGAGCGCACCCGTTTTACGCGTATCAGCCTGCCACACGACCTTCGTGGTGGGATGGAATCCTTTCCGTTGAAGAAACAATTTTCCGAAAGTGGCACTTACACGGCCTTTTTTCTGTCGCGGCTTCGATTACAGTAATTTTCACACCAGCGATACGACGGAGTTTCCAAGTGTGCGGTGGCGTGATTAGCCGTTCGCGCGCGAGGGATTTGATCGACACTTCTTGTTTTCGGCGCGCGCGATCGTTAGGAACGCGAGGCGTGCACGCGACGCATAAATTGCGATTCGCAATCGCGTTTATCGGATTATCGAGCGTAACGCAACGCATTAGCTAGCCTCGAGAACGGGCTCCATGAACCCTTGCCATAAATATTAGTTAAAGCTGTCCGAGGTTCACAATTAATCCTCAGTGGCTTTCTGAAAACGGTTAAAAATGAGCAGGAAGAGGCGCGAAATCGATTAAAGCTCGATCAACGACGAGACCCCGAGACTCGCGTCAGCTGTTACATTTTTCGAACGTCACAAAAATGAACGTATTTGTGCACATCACTTGCTATTTGCAACAACAGAAATAACAACACAGACCTGTAATTTAATTTCCATGTGTATGGAAAGGATTCTACATGCAGGATGAGAACAGGAGTCTTTTGCGCTCGAATTACGGCGTATCGAATTTTCTACAGAATAAATTTGATGTTCCACTTTCTCGTTAATTATTGCACATCATGCAATTCTTTGAGTAGCTCGAATGGTGATAATCAGACGTGTGAACTTTAAGCATCAGACACACACCCGAGAGAGAGAGAGAGAGAGAGAGAGAAAGAGAGACGGGATTTCAAATATCGTGTTCGAGATCGATTTTTCGAACGCGCTCTCATTATGCTTCCTCGTAAAATAAAATTCTTTAAAATAAAATTCGAAAGAGAAATTATATTATAAATAATTCGCTCGTCAGTCGCACGCGCGTCCGTATTCGCTATTCCATCGTCGCCAATTTCTGCTCGCCTCTGAAATTCCAGGAAGATGATTCTCACCCGCACACCGACAGCGCACTCGATAAATCGCGAATTCCGTAAAACGCGGTCGATTACGAATCGCGCGCGCAAATTTACACGATACGCAATTTAACATTACACTCCCGACGCGTATTTACCCTCGCATACATGCTAGCGTTCATTTTCAACACATGCTCGGGGAGGAAAGGGAGAGGGAACGCGAGAGACGCGCCCGGTAATCTCCGGACCGCAAAAAAATCGCCGGCGATATTTCAATTTCGACAGACTCAGTGTACGTGATATCCGCGTAATAATCTCTTCACGGCGATTGTCGTGCATCGTCGAACGACGAGTGATTATCGAATATTATCGCATCACCGAGGGAGAGGAAACGCGTTATCAATCCACCCGGTACTCGTTCGACAATGCCCGATTACTCGGCGACTAGGGGGGGAAAAAAAACGGGAAAGACCGCCGACGCATTCCCGATGTTAATCCGACACGATCGTATGCAACAATGAACGTGTTTTTCCAGAGAGACGAGTTACCGCTAGTCACTAGATACTCTTGTAGCATCGAGAGAGAAGAAACGCATTACGAACACTCGATACATATTTCATTCGACAATGCCGCTTCTCACTCTCGGCGACCAAGACTAGAAAACCTACGAAGAAAAACAAAACGCTGTACACTCACGATGTTAAATCTTAATTGGTGACACGCAACAATATGAAGGCATTTTTCCCAGAACGAATGACCGCTAAATACATTTCGCACTTTTATACTGTGAATAAGTGCGTAAAGTATATAAACATTACCTTATAAATCATCAAAAGTGAATTGAGCTCACTTAAAAAAAAAAATCGTCTCAATTTAAAAAGAGCGATTTAAAAAAAATCAAAATTGACACAACTTACAAAAGATAGTTTTTTTTTTAAGATATGGAAACGAAAATAGCAAAAATAATATTAAGAATGATATTAAGTATAATATTAAGATCATAATATTAAGAATATATCCTTTTGTCAGTATTATTTGATTAGTTAATAACCTTCTGTCAAGTTAATAAAATTTTCCCTTTCTGAAAACTGAATTTTTTATATGTTACTTTTGAAGTAAGGATACGATTTGTATTAGATTTGTAGTAAAAAAGAGACGCGTTGCGAAAGCTCGATATTTCATTCGACAATACCTCGGCGATCGAGGAAAAGAAGAGAGAAGCATCGTGCCATCATTCGTTTCCATTGCCTTGACCTATTATATAATAAACAAACATTCGTAAAACAACGGAACGTGCTTACCGAGAAGACGGGCTATCAAAAAACACACGCCGGGAGAGTCTGCCGAGTGATTCCCGGAATTCCTGCAGGCAATATCGAAGTAAGGACGCGAGACGTTTCCCCGTACACGCAGCGTTGCGTCTGTCGGTGTCGTTAGGATAAGCCGATTGCGTGCCGCGTCGCTCCATTATCCTGCTTCCTTATGGGAACGAAGCACACGTGTATTCCCAAGTAGCGGAATGACGTTAAAAGACATTGCAGTGACGTCTAACCAAAATAGACGCTGGTTCCGAAATTCACAGTCGGTGCTGAAGATTTAGCCGCGCCGAACTTCCTTTTTAGAAATCGGGAGCTATTAATCAAAGAAGAAGAAAGAGAACTGCTGAAGATTCTATTGTGCGCATAATATGTAATGCTAATAAATTTTCAACGCTCTGGCGGTGTGAACACGACCGGTCTAGCTTAACGTTGGAAAATTAGTCAAGTATTTGGCCAAGTCGGCGAAAATAAAAAAAGTCAAGTGTCATTAAAAAAAAAGAAGAAGGAACGTAGCCTGGATCTTTTGACATCGCTCTGTTACTTACTTGATTTGCCTTTCGATCGATCAATTTCGATTTCGAAGGACCGCAATCAGAGAACGCCGTGCCGTCGAACGCCATCGAACAACGAGAAGTTTGCCACGAGTGCCTGGCGGGCTTGTGAGCGACTCGCGTCCCTGGCGAGCGACGCGTGAGCCCCTCCAGAGATCTCCCTGCGCTGCTGCACTTCCACGTCGCGTTCTGTGTCGTCGCGCGACATTAACCGCCGCGAATACACGGGGGGCGAGTTTACCGAGTAATATACCTCATCCGCCAGAACGGATTAGGCCGCGTTTCGCCGATTACGTCGTAATTACGCGAGATTTGACGAAATTAACGCTAACCGATCAGACGCATGGGCGCATCACGCGATCGCGACCGACGACACGTATGTCGTATACACGCTTCGCGTTTAAATTTACTTAATTCACTTGCCTACGGCAAAGCTCCGATTGCTCCGAACTACGTCGCGGCGCGAGTGAGGCCGTACGCTTCCGCTAATCGCCGAGCGTTTTGATTGGCTCGAGTCCTTGGCGATTCGCGCGTGAACCCCTTCGCGAGTGAAAGACGCCAGACGCCAGTGACGCCAGCGCTAGTCGCCGAACGGCCGCCATCGCGAGTGGATAATTTCGGGAGTGTTGCACGTAAAAAAGTATTGCGCGAACGCTACGAGAGATTACGTTGCCAAAGTCAAAGCTCCGAGCTTCGTCGCGAGTGAGGCCGTACGCCTCCGCTAATCGCCGAGCGTGTTCCGATCGGCTCCTCGGCGATTCGCGCGTGAACCCCGTCGCGAGTGAAGACGCCACCGCTAGTCGCCGAACGGCCGCCGCCGCGAGTAGATGGATTTCGGGAGTGTTGGACGTAAAAAAAGTATTGCGCGAGCCGCGAACGCTACGAGAGATTACGTTGCCAAAGGCAAAGCTCCGAATTTCGTCGCGAGTGAGGCCGTACGCCTCCGGTAATCACCGAGTGTCCGCGTCGCGAATAGGTGAATTTCGAGAGTGTTGGACGTAAAAAAAAAGTATCACGCGATCGCTACGAGAGAGACTGCGTTATCGACGGCTGCGAACTTTGTCGCGATTGAGACCTTACGCCTCCGCTAATCGCCGAGGGTTCCGATCGGCTCCTTGGCGATCCGCACGTGAACCCCGTCGCGAGTGAAACCGTAGCGTAGGTACGCTACCGCTAGTGGCGCTAATCGCCGAATGCCCGTCGTCGCGAGTAGCTGAATTTCGGGAGTGTGTTGGACATAAAAAAGCATTGCGCGATCCTTACGAGAGAGAGATTACCGTCGCCGACTGTATCGTAAGCGTTTCGCGAACGACGGCGATCGACGTTTAATCGGTGCGCGAGTCGCGATCGGCGGAGGCTCCGCCGTGCTCCGTTTCGAAACGGTGTTGACGTGGGTGGTCGTTGGCGATCCTGAAGTCCCCGTACGTCCGTGCGTTCGCTAGTTACAATCGCTAGGAACAATCTCGTCGTGCGAAGCTCGGGCGACTGAGATGTCAGCTGATTATCGTCGCGACTACGCCGACGACAGAGAACGCGACGTGGAAACGCAGGAAGATCTCTGGAGGGAGTTCACGCGTCGCTCGCCAAGGAGGATCGCCAAGATGACCGGATGGTGTCGTCGGGTCAATGCCGAATAAAAGCGTCAGGTGATTATTCCGACTACGGGATGCAGGTGTCACGTGGATCAATAGTCGATCGAACGGGAGAAGTGGAGCATCCGATGGAAGACAGCACGGATTATCTGACAAGCAGCGAACAGCGAGACGACGATCGGTGAGTCTAAAATTACTTTTATTATGAATAAATTGATTCTAATTAATTGGATCTGACACTGTCAAATCTATAGTGTCAAACTGAACCTTATTTAAATCGCCACTACTTAATAAATAGTTCTTTTTTTACTGAAACAATGGAGTTAAATAATTTACAACAGTTCAAATTTGCTCCTACTTAATAAATAGTTCTTTTTTACTAAAACAATGGAATTAAATAATTTAAATCAGTTCAAATTTAACCCAAATTTGGGTTAAATTCCATTGTTTTAGTTTAAAATAACTATTTATTAAGTAGGAGCAGTGGCGACCTAAATAAGGTTCAGTTGACACTATAGATTTAACAGTGTACACTTGATTCATTCACTGCGATTTGATGCGATAACTGTGCTGTTTGCTTGCTCCGACGACGTTCTGGACTTTAGCCATCGGTAAATAAGTTCAGAGCAAAGCGTACGATTACGTACATATGTCGGTCGCGTCCATCCATGCGTCTGATCGGGAACGTTAATCAAATCTCGCGTAATTACGACGTAATCTGTAAAACGCGACCCAATCCGTTCTGGCATAAAGTATGCTTTATGAATATACATTCGAAAAAATTTTTATTAGTAAGATGACGAAAAGAATATTTTTAAAATACACGTGAGGGTGCTAGCATAACGTGAAATCAGCACTTCCATTTTTGATATTAATTTTCTGCAGTGGGTAGAAGTAATAAATTCGCAATTAGAACGATAAATTAGCACTTAATTATAGCATATAGTCGAACTTTTTTTTTAGTGATGGGAGTATTAAGTTCACAGAGGTTAATTTTCTACGATTTTTTTATTTATACGTCATTTTATCTATATAAAAATGATTTATATAAGAATATACACCGATACTCTTTCGATATAAAAGAACGCCGTAATCTTATTGTCTTTCGCGAAACTTTTGATAAATGCAAATTGTGAAGTTATAAATACAGATCACATTGGCATAAGCGTGGTCCGTTTCAATTAGTAGCTATAACAGTGAACGTTAATTGACCGCCGGCATTGTGGTTATACCCTATACAATCCGTTTATGAGTAACAAATTAGACAATTAATTGCTATTAATAAATGCTAATACGTCATCATTATCATTTATTTGACAACAGTAGATTTTGGATATCACTGTAATTATGGAAATGCGGAATTTCCCATATATATGTAGTTGTATACAGCCCCCGAAGCAATTAGGATCGTACGCAAGCATAATTTTGCAGTTAAAGCATTCCTTGAAAAGTTAATTAAGGAAATTTATATTAAGAGAACAATTATAATTAATAAAACTTCGTAATTATTATATATATTTAATTCTTATATCAAAAATATATTAATAAAAAATTTAATTTTTATATTTATTTCTCATGAGATATGATTATCAGTGCATTCTGGATAAGAAATATATATATGATAATTTAAGAATGTCTTGAAAAAAAATTAAATAATGATATTACTGCATTAATCCAGTAATATCTCGTTCAACGATATTCAACAATTATCTCTTAAACTTTATCGAAGTTTTTTCTCATCTCCTCATTGACCATCTCCTCGACGTCTTTTTGCGATCGAATACGGTTAGGAAACGGTAGAAGGGTTTTAATTCGTTCGCTTTAAAGGCGCGAATTCGAAATGGCGTAAAGATTTATTCATTGAGATCAAATATAGCCAGCACGTACATTTTACGGTTAATTAAGGAACGACGCGGAGCGCAGCGCCACGGAACTTTGTGCACATCTTCAGAATTAATTCGCATAGACGGGATATGATAGTTGAAAAAAAAAAAAAGAAATACACGCGAATTGATTCAGATTCCGTGAAAGGTCGACCGGCAATCGTCGTCGTGCGCGTTAACGACGGGAAAGTGGTCGCACCAGTCGGCGCGTTGCGATTTAAAGAACCGAGAGTTTGTACATAGAGCGGACGTGATACGCGAAAATCGACGTGCCACACGCTCTCTCGGACTCGGGGATCGTTTCATTATTCAGCGGGTCCGCATGCAGTAACACGCGTCCTTCCCGGAATTCACGTGCGAGCGAAGCAGGCTGGTCCCGTGTACGTGCTCCGGGGTGTTTTTTTTTCTTCCCCCTCGTAGCTTCATTATGTATAGGGTGGCGGTCAAACTGCTCTCTCGCGACTCTCTCGTTACCTTCCACGCAGATTGCTTCCCGATTAGAAATTCCCTCCGATCTCGAGTCGTGTCTTTTAAATTCTTTTTTGGAAAACAGAGTTTTTCGCACATAATACGTTATTCAGGAGCTTTTAATATTGCATTTAATTCTGTGCACCCCGGGAGGCAATAGATTCCGCGTTCTCTCTTTCTCTCTCTTTCTCTCGCTCTCTGCCTTTGCCCCTGTATTTCCATAATAAAATTTATGTCAGCGATTTGAAAAATTCCGAGCGTAACAATTTTCAATATAAAAATTTCACGAATTCGGATATTCGGTATTATCAGTAGAACGTCATTTTCATCGTTTTCCACGGTATGACGGCTATTTCCAAACGGCGAGAGCGAAGCAAAATTTACTGTAAAGCGATGCTTCTGAACGCGGTACTGTATTATGGACGATGTTGTCCTCCCCTTGGGTCCGGTGCAGCGATCTTTTTCATCATCGTGCCCGAGGCGCGACCGCCGTTACTTTGCATTTTTTTTCCCCTCTCCACGTTGATGCTTTTCATTTAACAATATCACTGGTCACTGTCGTGATATAACTCCGTTACATAAGCGAATAGCCGATAGGTTATATCACCCGGCGACCGATGTGGCAAGCAAACTTCAAAGAGTCGAGCAGCCAGTAGTTAAAGAGCTAAAACCATCGCATAAAAAAAAAGAAATTAATATTACATATATTCGATAGTGCAGTGATCGTTAAATGAATGAACAGACGATGTTTCACTGCGGTATGACAATGAGTGTACGCGAACTTTATTTAAACTGTGTTTGAATGATACTTTATATAAGATATGTATTCTGGGAAGATTACATTTTTTGAATTCTCAGCAATATTGGCAATATCTTGAGCAGCAGATAAAGTCAGAAATAAAAATTTCCAGAATGCAGCCTTGACCATGAGTATAAAGCATCCCCACAAGTGGAAAACGTAAACGTTCTATCTCTAACAAACAAAAATAAATTAAATAATAATTAATAAAAATAAAAATAACAATTTTATTTTGTTAGTCTTCATTATCATTTTTTTTCAAGAAAATGCAAAAAATTGAGAATACTATTATCCTTATGGTCAAAGCTGTAAATCTCGAATATATAATATACTTATAACATTAGAACTACCAATTATTCATGTAAACTTATTTCTACTATTTAAAAATGTTATATATATTTTACAAAAAAAGAAAAGAGAAAATAAAATGAATAATTTAATCATTTACGTATTACAACAAAAATCACGGAAAATTTTAGAAAATATACCTTTTACCTTTATAAATTAAAAAAAATTGCAAACCAGTTATTATGACTGCTTTGGTAATTATAGCGTTAAAAATATAATCTTTATCTGAGGTGAGAATCATTTTACCATTGTAATTTACTTCATCATGAGTATATGAGTTGGGTTGGACTCCGGTGGA